ATATTTATGGTTTATGAACTACTATGTCAATCTTCTTCTTTGCATTAAACCAATGATATGTGGATGATGAAATACTATATAACTATTATTTCTGGTTACGAATCTTTCACAAATATTTTTTTTTTAAAATGACGACGAACGCCAGTCACTTGGGGTATAAGCCTGGATGGTATCAAGTTTTCTTATTCAAGACTAATACAGCATCTTTTTTTTAAAAAAATAAATCTTCAAAATATGTTCCTCTCTCCCTGGGGTGTGAAGGGGTGGCTTTTTGAGTTTATTAAAAAAAAAAAATTTCTAAGGATCCTTACGGTATTAACCTAAATCCTTTTAAGATTTTAAGTTGACTTGAAGTTGTCTTAATTCGGCTCTTTTTGTGATTTATAGCTACAAACGTACATCTATATCAAATAAATCTATATCACTTAAATCTATATCATTTAAATCTATAACCCACTATAATCTACATCACTTAAATCTACATCACTTAAATCTATATCATTTAAATCTATAAACCACTAAAATCTACATCACTTAAATCTATATCACTTAAATCTATATCATTTAAATCTATAAACCACTATAATCTACATCACTTAAATCTACATCACTTAAATCTACATTACTTAAATCATGGGCATTCACCTTGATTCGTGGGAGACACCATAGTCCGTGCAAGCGGCAGACTGAATGTGTCAGACAAAATCTTTAGAGTCTAAGTGCACCGCTCAAGCCCAAAGAAAGATCTCGGCAAGAAAAATAAAAAATTGTCTCAAATCTTACTAGGACGCACACAAAATGCACACAACAAGTATCCCAAAGTGTGGGAAAGCTTTCCAGGCACAAATATAACTGGCAGGCCGCCCGCGCACTCACCGTGTCATAAAGCATTGGTCTTCTTCGCGTGCGAAGGGCCAACAACACATCTTTATGACAAATGTAGATTTCCTTTTATAGTATAGACTTAAGATGGTTAATTTGACTACTTATTTTTCCTAATGGGTGGCTGGGTAGATCTATAGAGAGATGGAATAATATATAAATGCGTAAATGGAAATACGATCAAAGGGATGGATTAAATATTTTATAAATTTAAATAATGTTTATCTTGTATTTTATATAAAGACTTTTGCTGGAGGTATTACCAATAAACACTTGATTTATAGTGAAATATCTTTTAAAAGAATAAAGCAGGGTGATCTTGAAAAACAAAATTTAAAAAATGACTGCGTAATTTCCATTCATTTGAAAAGTAATTTGAAGCTTAAACTTAAAGGTAGAATACACCCTAAAGCTATTTACAATTCTAACACAATTGCTCTGAAATTGTTGTCATTTTTATATAGCATTGATAATTGAAACCAAACTACATTTTTTTAGGATGAATATGTCATTAAAATTATTGCAACGGTAATCAATTAACATAATTTTTTTTTTTCATTCCATGTTATTTGCCAAAGTTCATTAAATAAGCTTGAACGGGTAAAATTCTTCACTAAAATAAATTCATTAACGTTGTTGTTGTTTAGTTCTCATAATATGACTGCGTGTATTTCAAAAAAATATATGATTTGATATGCGAAAGCATGTTTGGGGAGAAAAAAACTACGAATAAGGCAATTATGTTTACTAACTAGTTTTCATTTTACCATTGGGGAAAGAACAAAACTATTGCAATTAAAAAATTCACGTTCAATAAATAAATGCATCAAAAGGGAGGTTTACTGTATTTCGTTTTGTTTTCTCCACATGACGTCTTTCGTTATTTCACATGTGTGATGTTCCCTAAAGACAGTAAGCATATTTGAGTTTCTGCACAGGGCACAGGACACGTAACACAGCGCAGGGGACTGGACAACACGTGGCACAGCGCAGGGGACTGGGCAAAGAGCACAGGACGCAGGGCACAGGACATAGCGCACAGGACCCAGGGCACATGACCGTGGACACAGGACACAGGGCGCAGGACGCTGGACACAGGACACAGGACACAGGGCACATGACACTGGACACAGGACACAGGGAACAGGAGACAGGGCATGGGACACATGACATAGGGCACTTGACACAGGACACAGGACATAGGGCACATGACACGGGACACATGACACGGGACACAGGGCAGAGGACACAGAGCACATGACACTGGACACAGGGCATTAACACAAGGTCTGGCTCATGGGGCCATCTCGCCACATGGACATTTTTTTTCTAATTCGTTAAATGCTTTTAGACGGCCAGCCGTATCCGTTATTTGTGTTCCACGAGCTGCGATTTAAACAACAACAACAACAACAAATAAATGAGTTGACTTTGTTTCCCAATTTATGACTTGTTTTTTTTTTTAATAGTCTAATCATCTTATTAATTATTTTTTTTTTTAAAAAATAAAATAATCCATTCGTCATTTTATTCTTCTTTTATTTTATAATAATAAAAAAAAAAAATTTGAATATGATAAGGTCTGAACTATTTTATTTTGGCGATTACTTGTACAATAGCACACACTTGTAGATGAAAATTGCTTCCTAGAAATAAACATCAGAATTAAAAAGTGTTATTTCATATTATTTTTTTCCGTTAAGTATTGGTAAAACATTTTTCCCCGTTTCTCCTTTTTAATTTTTATTTGACAAAGCAATTTTAAAAAAAAGCACAACAAAAAGAAAAAAAAAAAACCCAGCAAAGATGGTGTGTAAAAAAAATCATATTATTATAGTATAGAAAAATGCATCTGGTACCAAGTGAACGGACAAAAGAACTGAATATTATGGATGAAGGTTCGTAGGTGAAGTTTTGATTTAAATAAATACGAAGCTTTTCGTTTGTTATTGTGACGGACTAATCCACCAAAATCATGAAATACTGTTTGGCTAGGACAAACGCTTGCATTAAATATCTCTGATAAGTTAAATGTCAGATCATGTACTTAATTAATTAGTTGACAACTACAAACACACTATGTCGTATTTATTTTTCATGAAGCACAGTTTTTAATTATAAATATGTGTATGGTTAAAGTAATCACGCTTTTACCATTGCTGGTGTCGTTGTAACTAGTTTAAAAAAAATAAAAATAAATTGAGCACTATATTTTGTGCCTTGTTTCAATTTCAAAGCCAACAAATATTATTTTTTTTCAGAACTGTTTGACCCACCTTATAGTAAACTGTATTTATTATAGTATATAACTATAGAATATAGTAACTCGTTTATACAGAGGTCCATTGCCACTTTTTTCTCCATCACGTGGAAATCATATTTTCCTCTCCTACCAAACCTAGACAACCTCTTCATTTATTTTTTTATAATTAACTTCCACGTCATTCTGGTTATACAATCAAAACTGGGAGAAGATTGCCAAATAGCTTCACAGAACATCTCCGGGATATTGAACAAGGCAATCCTTCCCCGTGTCTCTTCACATTTCAACAGAGAGCAACATAAAGGTGCATTAGACGTATCTATTTCGGCACTAATTTCCCTTACAATCGCACCAGAGATAGTCAAAATGGAAAAAAAAAATTATTCATCCTTTTGGCACTATATCTCGATACGGTATTAATCAAATACCCTTCTATTCATATTTCTCAATTTCCCCATATTTCTTCGTTTTATCTTATTCCTTAGATTTTATATATCCCTAAGTATTTCGGTCCGTTAAGATTCTGTGCCTCATTTCTCACAGTGTTAATTTACACTTTTCTGTTAAGCTTTTATGCTAAAGTGCTTTAATTTGTTGGCAAACGACATTATGAAAACATACCCGAATGTAGCAGTCTTTCTTGAAAAATTGTTTCCCAACATGTTAACAATTTCAAGGCAGCCATGTTGTCTATAAAAAAAATAGGCTATCAAAAATTGAGACCAATCAATCGACAGACGGATTTACCAGAATCGACTTTTTAAAAAAAAAAATATTTTGTGTACCTTACTATTTTGGCAAGTAGACCATATCCATTTTTTTGGAAACATAAAATTAGGAAAGATAGTTAAATGCTCTAAGCTGCAAATGAACCACGAGAAATAGATCTTGCAAATGTGTAACACATGGACGACATGTGTGGTTTGCATAAATAACACATTTTCCCCTATTGTGAAAATCGTGTTTGAAGCAGGTGATAATTATATGCAACACTGACACTTCATCAATCTTATACAGTATACCTTAAAAATATATTTTAAAAAGAAGAAACCAGCCCCAAATTGTGGTTAAAAACTGAAGATCCCTTCCATGCGAAAATTTTCAAAATCATATCAAAAGACCAATCATGAAATGTAGGGATGGAGATTTGGAAAATTGCGCGTCAGAACCACCATTCCTTTAATAGATTTTTTTGCTTTTATAGTGAACAGGAGGAAACTCCCTCATATGAAAGTCGAGTTGTGTGTTCATTTAAAACGTGGTAAATTTCGTGACGTAAAAATGGATAAAAATTTGTCTGGGTCATTAAAGCTCAAATTATACGCATTTCTGTATAAAACCGGGAAATGCTAAAACCTAAGTTTTAGACTTTTAGTCAAAGTTTTAATTATTTGTGGTTATTTTTAAGGATGTTTCCGTCGATTAAACATCTAGTTTACAAGCATCTATCAATAAACATTTTGGCTTTTTGCTCAAGTCGCATTAAAAAAAAAAGCTTTGGTTACACTAGCTAAAATATTTATTGGTTATGAATAAAATACAATACACTTATGGACGAGCTCAATGCGTTGACTGACTGACACTCCTATGTTTTTAAACATTTAAAAAAAAAATAGTTTCAAATGTTTTACGAATCGAATTAGTTAGGCTCTTCGGGTGTCAGCAGGGGGTCAGCTTCTCTCCACTAGATATATTCAAGCCTTTTCCTTTGCATCACAACAAACCAAGACAATACGTTCTGGCGTTGTGCAAAGCCAGCGGTGAGCAGAATCTCATCTCTAAAATAATTGTAAAATGTTAACAAATTATATTGTTTAAAAAAAAATGTTCCACCTCAGGATATTCCAATGCAAAGCTTGGCCTCCGTGTGGTCTGTGGACCGGACTGGAAGTACGGGGGGGGCAATACTTGAGAAGGATTAGTTGGTACAGTGGTAGAAATTGGCGGTAGGTGTGGATCTGTGGCTCCTGCGAAGTCAGTCGGAGTTGTCTGGGATACAGGCGTGAAGTCATACTACAGATCTGGTGATGGCAACGCCTACGACATGCACGTATTTGACAATATTCAATGTGGTGAGTTCACATATCGTATAAAAAGACCTCACTTTGCTTTGCACTATATTTGAAAGCAAGAATTTGTTGTTGAGGTGATTTTTAATATAAGGTTTGTAATTTTTTTAAAGATTAAATTCGCCTAATTTTTTCAGTTTATTGTATAACAACAAGACTAACTAATTCAAAATCTTTTAAAAGTATTTAAGTCTCCCCATCTTAAAGTCAAAGTAAATTCCATTTGAGACAGTTAAAGCCCTGAAAATACAAAATCGATCACACATATCTTGTTATAGATGTCCTTAAAATAAAAAATGAAATAATAACTTACTTAGATGTATTGACATATAGTGAAAAATCTAAAAACGAATGAGCCCTTATAATAAAGAAGAAGAAGAAGAAGAAATGTAGTCTTTATTTCTCAGTTAGACGTACAACCTCAGAGACAGAAATATAAACAATTTTTTTTTTATTGTGAAGTTCAATATAAATTAAAATAATCGTGAAAGTACAATATATTAAAAATTTAAATAACTACAAATAGGTGCGTTCCACCTACCCAGCTGCAACGATTGCGAAGGAGGAATTACTGGCTTTATATGGAGATGTACGTTGTGTTTCGGCCTTTCACTGTGTACCTCGTGTTACATGTCTGACTTGCACGGAACTTCACACCCTTTCATTAGATATGAAACACACTTATACAATGGGTAAAGTGTATGTATGTTGTACAACGTTTATTAGATTTAAAATGTTTAAATGATTAGAAGCAATTAATTGTGTTTTGCCCTGGGGCTAGGGCGGCCTCTTCCACTAACCTATCCTTCAGACACTAATTAAAAAGATAGAGACTGAGATACGTCTTTCTCTATTTCGACGTGAAATAATGTACTGAGGGTCAGGAGAGTTCGGCTTCCAGCCCTTAGGACTCAGGTTTTGCTACACCTTGGCCCCTCACACAAGGAGTGATTCGGTCTTCGGAGAGTGACACCAGCTTTCTTTCGCATCCGGCTGTGATCAAGCCCTACCCAAATGATGTCCCCTGATGCCCATTGTTACGATAGAGCAAACCTGGCTACTCCATGGGAGGATGATGGCAGCTAGAAACTATACTACAATTTATCAGTTTCACTGACAATAATTAGATTTATACCACCAACAATGATGTTAAGTCTTTAATAACTTTTTATTTAATTCTGCATTGTGAAATTTACTTTAAAAACTTGTTAACTTATTGATTAACAAGCTAAAAAAATGTATTAAAATGTTTTGTTCCTACAATTTAGTGTCATTAAAACAGATCAGCACAAAGTAAATTTTATTTATATTGTTACTTATATTACAATTCTTTCTTTGGCCGGGGGGGGGGGGGGAGAAAAATGTGTCCAGTTGTTGGAATGTCTTTTGGTCCACATTAAACTTTTCGGAGGGCATCATGAAGTCCTCGTGACAAAGGTTGCCTGCACTTAAAACTGACAAATGGGGGGGGGGGGGGGGGGGAGAAAAATGTGTCCAGTTGATGGAATGTCTTTTGGTCCACATTAAACTTTTCGGAGGGCATCATGAAGTCCTCGTGACAAAGGTTGCCTGCACTTAAAACTGACAAAACTTAGGCCTATCTTGTTTTGTTTTGTTGTTGTTGTTTTTTTGTGTCAAATGGAAAATTTTCATTTATCATAATAGAGAAAAAAAAATTACCCCTTTCATAAAATGCTAACAATGTATTGTTTTGTAAAGGTAATTCAAAATCAAAATCGAAATGAACTCAAGCAATTTTTTCTAACGCGTCTTATTAATATATTTTGTTTCTTTTTAAACTGGAGTGAGTTACTGAATTTCACCAGGTGCCTACTGTAACACGGGCTTACAAGTAACAATAAAACTGAAAATTGTGTATTATTTCTAGGCATCTCCCTTAGGAAACCTCGGCTCACCAGAGTCACGCGTCGCACATTCCTGGAACCGCTGTGAGATCTAGATAGTGTTATCTCACATTTTATAGCTAGTTAAGTATAATTGAAAAAGTTTATCAGACCTTGAATAAACTGTATTAAAAATGTCTCGTATCATATAGTGTTACTTTTTCTCTTCCACTTCCTATTTGAGAAATGTAAAGCTTTGATACTCTCAAGACCTCATTTTCCTGTAAAGCAAACAAACAACAACAAAAAAGTTCTATTTGATCACCCACCCTCGTTTGAAAATATGCATATATATATATACTTTTTCTCTTCCACTTCCTATTTGAGAAATGTGAAGCTTTGATACTCTCAAGACCTCATTTTCCTGTCAAGAAAACAAACAACAACAAAGAAGTTCTATTTGATCACCCACCGTCGTTTGAAAATATGAATATATATGTACATATATATATATATATATATATATATAAATATATATATATATATATATATATATATATATATATATATGTATATATATATATTAGAGACGGGAGGGGGGATCTTTTTTTTCTCCATAAAACACCGTCAACTTAAATCTAATTATAGACTATTTTCATCAGCCATATCACCAAACGAAGTCCCGGTAGATCCTATGCGAATACCCGTCATCATCTCTGTAGGTTAAATCATTGAATGGACTACATCAGTGTTTCGCTCACATGTAAACAATTCAAGTATACGAATATGTGCGAGCTTGTTGAGTGAGGCAGATCATGCAAGAGTAAATATTACAATCCTAAACTTTATATTTGACTCATTTTGAAAAACAAAAAGATGTATCCGACTGTATTCGAGTTTCTAATCGTACAGTACGGTACAGTTCATCGGTACTCAATGACACGTGGTCGTCTCCGTTAAGTCAGCCACCGTTATCCAACATATTAGTTATTGTTCCTCGATCGATAGCATACATAGTGACGTAAACTACTTCACCATTTAAAACCTTGTAAAGCCCATACGTATGTCATTATAAATATAAACAAATGAGTGAAGGATAACAATTGAAATTCCTGTAAGGTAAAATTGGAAATTCCCATTATTTCTATGAGGTATTAAAGGGCGAATAACCTCTAAAATCTAGAGTTGTCCCTTTTGAAACTGAAACAAGAGTTCAAATTTTGTTTTTAAACATACGTGAAGGTTAGGATAAATGCTATCAAGCAAAATCTCAAAGATTTTTTGCAACGTTCCTTAGAATTTTGAAATAATTTTTTTTTTGTTAAAGATCCCTCCAGAGACCAGATTGGGGGTTGGGTAATAATGAGAAAAAAAGAAGGAAGCCATCTACATGCATAGGAGCCAAAATGATCAATAAATTGATCGTGGGCCCTTAAGATATAGAAGAAGAAGAAGAGGAATTATTGAGGTATTTTAAACATCCTAGAAAATCTAAACTTCGTACCACCAAGGTTGATAATGATATCCCAAGATGCCTACACGCAGTGGCGTAGCTAGGGTTGGTGTCACCCGGTGCGGTCCGCACCGCAAACCCCACCCCCCCCCCACCCCAGCTACGCCACTGCCAACACAAAGTTATAAATTATTTCTATTTAATAACTTTGTGACTATTACCAGAAACGCTGATATCAGCATCATTCAAATACATTTTTAAAAAAAATTCAAAGAGGGCCGGGGGGGGGGGAAGGGGGTTGTGTGGGAGGTGGGGGGCATTTAAAAATGTGTTGTGAAGAATCATGCCTGGCTGAACGGGAAAAATCTGTTAGACAATAATCCTTCAGACAAATGACACCACTCGATTTCATCGTCATTTAAAATACGTCTTGTCTTTTGTTGTTCCTCTCATTTGAACTTGCGACACTTTATTATTTTGAAAAAAAAAAACGCTCAATTCACAAGAATATTTAATACATTCGTTCTCAAACTATTTATCTTTAAGATTTTAATGCAACCAAGTGTATGTAGACTCTCAATATTCTTTGTATGGCGTATTGTGTTGAACCGGACATAATTATTTCTCTAAATGCATTTTTTTGTTTGTTGAAAGTCACAAATTCAAATGTTTTCGGTGCCGATAAACATTCCCATTTTCAACGTTTGCTTAAACCATTCGTTTGCTTCGCTATCAGACCTGGAGCCACCGGCAGTAAAGACTGCTCACGGTTTAACGTTGGAGACCTTGTCGAGATTAGCGTGGAGCCTTCAGCGTTACAGACTCTCCAGCGTGAGCACGGCGGACTTTGGGGGAACATGATGCAGGTAATCATTGGTTCAAATCAATATTAGAGACAAAAGCCTGTTTTCCTTGGTACGTCATTTTTTTTTTTACATCACGCTCTCTCTATCACACACGCACTGTCTCTCTCTCTCTCTCTCTTTCACTCTCTCTTTTTTTCTTTGTCTAGCTTTTTTTCTCGTTATCTATCTAAAATTCTCTCCCCCTTTTATCTTATTTTTAGATTTATCATTATTTCCAACCCCCCCCCCCTTTTTTTTTCCTCTTTGTACTTATGTTTATCCAAGCAAACTGTTTAATATGTATTTCTCGGTATACGTGGGATACTTAAAGCAGCTGTTTTTTTGGATATTTGGCGCCCCCGGCTGAATCAAGCGTTCGTCCCTGAGAAACATTACAAGTTTTCTTTAAGATTCGAAGGTGCCATCAACTAGAGTCTCTAGAGGCTTCTGCTAATAATAATTCTTTTTATTTTTATTTTTGCACCAGGCCTACGAGATGTTTCGTCCTAGCACATAAAATTCAAAATTACAACAAAAAAAAAAACAAAAAAAACAACAAAACTACCGTTTACCGCAGGAAGAAATCGTTGGAAATGCACCCCCGGATAGTGTTGAGTTGACATTAATTTATTTGTCTTGCTCTCTGGCCCGATTAACTCACAATTTTGCCACATTGCAACACGTAGATAATGCATTTGATAGATTGAGTGTATGTTCCTCTTTGAAAATATATTGACCTGTCCGTTAATATTTTGCGCACCAAGCCAAGAACCTACTTACAAAACGCACCCTATACAATGTGTTCCATTTTTTTCGCCTCCCCTTAAGCACCTCAGAGACGTCGGCATAGTGTGTGACGTCCTCGGGGACGGTGACGTCATGGTCAGATTCGGAGACAAGGGACCGTTCATTTTCAATCCTGACATTCTAACCAAGGTTCATAAAACATATTATTTAAATATTATTTTACAATATGTAAAGTAAGACACATTACTACATGAAACTCAATTCCAGCATTAGATTGTTAATTAACGGCATAATCAGAAGCCCGTTTTTCTTTAAAGTTGCCACTTTTTTTTCATAAGTTAATTATACACCGACAAATTGTGTCCATATAATAATTTTTTTTCTAGCTTTTGATGCCAAAACTCGCCCTCTTCTTTATACTCGAAGTGCAATCCGCAGCCAAAGTTTGCGACTCCTTAAATGTCCATTAATCGCACCTTGACCCGCCACATCCACCACCCCCCTCTAAAAAACAAACAAACAAACCCTTAACAAATCGCTTCCTTCCCAAATATAACTTAAGTTTTTAAACTTAACAACAAGCTTATATTCCCCATCCAGACTAAATATTCATTAGGTGTTTCATTTTTTTTTTCATCTCACATTCTCTCAGGTTTTGTTAGGTGACTCTCAGCCGGCAGGTAAATCCGAGGCCGCCAAACAGAACAAGGAGCCCGCCCACAGCGCCAAGCCCCAGTGCACGATATGTCTGATCAAGGAGGCTAGTGGCGCCATCGTGCCGTGCGGACACGTCGCCTGCTGTTCTGATTGTGTTAAACGTTTGAAAATATGTCCGATTTGTCGTAGTAAAATTGCCAGCTATATCCATATTTTCATTCCATGAGTTTTGACTTAAAAAATTTAAAAACTTATATATAAATATATATATATATNTATATATATATATATATATATATATATATGATATTTTTCCATAGTCGACTAGAGATAACGCTGAGCATTATTCCCAGCCGACCGTGTATAATAATTTTGCAATCATACTTAAGTCTGTTAAAATTAAAACTAACTATAGATTCGATACAGCCCATAATTCCGCTAATTTTTTATATAAATGTTTATTAGAAACATTTTTTTTTTGTTTACCTGCCAGCGGTAGTAAACCATTTATTGGCTGGAAATAGCATAGAGCTTTGTTCCTAGCCGACTGCGTACAGCGCCCCCTTTTATTTGTTGGTTAAAATGTCATCTGTTCAACAAAAAATTATTCGCCTCTTATCCAAACTGTCGTTCAGAAGTTGCTTTCCTGTTCTATATTTTCATGGGTTTTTTTTTTTAATGTGAAGCTCTGACGTTGTCATCATAACTCAACTCTTTTTATCTTTATATTTATCACGATCGCCCGTGTTATATACATGTAAATCAAGATGACATTTTCCCCAAGACAAATAAAACCTTCAGTTTATTGTTATTTACTTCTGAGTCACACTAAATAAAAATGTTCTCAGTTTTATTTTTTTATTTTTTTGTTGTTGTTGTTTGTTTCATGTATTTTAAAAAATAAATAAACTGATACATCATGTGTGAATTCCACCGCAATTTGCTATATAGAATGTTACTTGTCATATCGCACGGATCTATTAAGTGACTAACGGAATACTAAAACAAAGCTATTATAATAACTTAAGGTAGGCGCGAGACAATGGTGCTATCAAATTCACCTAAAACTTCTATTCAGACCTACTTAAAACCCGATTAGCAATGTGCATCTTTGATTCCGTATTGTAATAGAGCGGTCTTGTACCATACGTGGTTTACAAGATAGGCATTTTTTGCTCTGTTTGGCCATGTTTCGATACATATATATATATATATATATGCAAATACACACAGAGCACTTTAATATAATGTAAACTGATGCATTTAGATCATGCCATGAATCAAGCTATAAAACACAGCCCATGCATATATATAAATGTAACGTTGCTAACTGGATCAACTTTTCATGAATGGGGCGTCCATTAATGACGTCAACAAATAGGGGAGGGAGGGGGGTTTAGGTGAGTTAACGTCAACAATCATGTTTTCTGTATTACAATTTGAATCTTAAAAATTAACTGGTTATTGCATTATTTTTTAAAAAAATTATAAGTGTAAATGAGTGTAAACAGTCATATAATTTGTTGGCTTTTAATATAAAATTTACTTAATGTGTGTGTGTCTGTGCACTGCAGATGGATGGTCAGAATGTTACCACTTTTTGTAAGTGCAAGAGAAGTCAAAAGTTAGATGATATTAATAGAGTAGGAATACGATATTTTGAAAATAAGGTGAATGTAAAGTGAGTAACAATAATAATATCGCTGCTTGAACGGATTGGCAAAATCTGTAACATCTATTTCGCATCACAAGTCATGCTGAAAATTCATGTTCAACAGCACCGACAATGCCCTCTTGAGCATTAGAAATGAGCACCTGCTGCTCAACAAAAAAAGGATTCGACCCATGCGAGTGGCTGCAAGGAGACAGAGAGAGCATATGGCAATTATTGCTCACACTGACAATGCTTCTATTTTAAGTGCTGAATGGTTAGATGAGGATGATGTTGACTTGTCTGGTATATCAGTGCCACATGATGAAAATAATCAATCAGCTGGCTGCTATAGACGATGCCCATCCGGGGCGTCATTTCAGATTTTTTTTCAGGGGGGAGGGGGGCAAAAACCAAAACTTTGTTGGCTTATTAAGTTGTTTATTACTGGAGGCGTCACAGTACATATCAATTTAAATAAAACTTGCAAATTAGGAGGGGGGGAACAAATGGCCCCCTGCCCTACCCAAATGATGTCCCCGATACCCATTGTTACCATAGAGCAAATCTGCCTACTTCATGGGAAGATGATGACAGCTGGAAACTATATTACAATTGTCAGCTTTACTAACAATAATAATAGTTATACCACAAACAATGATATTCAGTCTTTAACAACCTTCCAACTGATTCTGCATTATAAAATGTAAGTGTAAAAACTTTTTAACTTGTTGATTAACAAGCTAAAGATACAATAAAATGTTTTTCCTACAATCTTGTGTCTTTAACATAGATCAGGACGAAGTAAAATGAATTTATACATTTATTCATTTTTTCTTTGGGGGGGGGGTGGAGGTAGAAAATTAGGGTGGGAGGGTTATTAAAAGTTTGATAGTTGTTGACAAGGGTGGGGGGAGGGGGAAAAAATTCCGTCAAAATTCTTGACCTAATTAATGGACGACCCCTTAAACTTTTTTTTTTTCATTCTCTAGAACAAGATTTATCAATGACTAATTAGCAACCCAACTGAAATCGATTATGTAAACATTCACAACGATGTGATTGGAAACGCGGAGTGGAGGGATAAATTAAATAAATGTACTTTAAAAAAACTCACCTTAAGTGTATGTAAAGTCAGTCGTTTTAAAATAAGTAATTATTTCATTTAGGATAAACATTAATGTTTAGATAGAAATTCATACAGTAATAAGAACTATATTTTCTTAAGCTCTCACAGGACACCGGGATCTCTATAATTGTAATACACGAACTCATCTAAGAAAATTATCCTCACAATAACTAACTTCGTTCATAAGATGTAAACAGTCAAGTTAATTGAAATAATTTTTTTCTTTAGAGGCAGCTTCATGTTTAAATGTTCACCTTTTTAAACATTTTCCTTAAAACTACAATGGTTCTAGTTAAATTTATAACATTGAGTACTTAATTTATACATTTATATATAAATTCATTAATATATATCTATATATATATATATATATATAAAACAATGATTTTTTAATTGATTTTAAAATGACTTTTTTTTCTAAAGTGAAATATGAAAACGTATTAAATAGGAAATACAACTAAATAACCACATAAAACTTAAATACTTGCATAAGACCTTGTGTACATGTTAAGTTCTGACACCAGAAAAAAACCTTCTAAACCAGAGGTCCCCAAACTTTTTTTGTCTCTTAGACAACTTGCCATGTTTTTCGGTTTTGGGTAGACCCCCCTGCTTACCTGATATTAAATTTTTGGCAAATTCATTAACTGCAAATGTATTTTTGAAAGCCGGTACAGTGCTACTCACTTTTAAAGATTTCAATTTATAACGGTAGTTTAAATTCATGTAGGAATATATGTGTCTTTATATTATAAGTAAATTATATAAATAAATAGGTACTATCTGAGTATGTGGATTATTCCAATCATGGAATGCCAAAATAGAAGTCAGGTCCTGCTACATCCACTATCGTTGACCCCCATTTTTATTTCATGGACCTTCTAATTTTTTTCGCTGACAAGGACTCCTTGTCGTCGACCCCTGGGGGTTGGGGGGGGGGAGATCGATTTGACCTATTTGAGAATCACTGTTCTAAACCAATGTTTCAATCGGAAATCTCCTTTTGCTTCAAAAAATGTCAAAACGGAAATCCCCAAATTATAAAAGTGAAACAATTAATATGGCCACAGGTTTGTTTTGAATTTTATGTGATTTTGTTAAATTAAATCCTACTTCTTATCTCCACTTAAGTCTCGTTTTCTCTTTATAACATAAGAAGATAATATCGCAGGCGAGCCTTGATTCGCATCTAGGAGCACCTCTGCATCATTCATCATTACATTAAAGGGCTCTGGCAAAATAACTTCCCTGTCAAATGCACATAACTGAATTTAATATTTCTCCTCACAAAATGTAGATTGTCTTTAGAAAAGTTACAATTTTGACCTAGCATTTTTCAGTTAACATTAAACATAACCCCCATCCCACCCCCATTAAAAAAAAATTAAAGCTAAATGACTGTTAAATATTGTCTATTATTTTTTTTTCAAACGCCAAAGAGATCATAATTTTATTTATACTCGTTTGGGCTGAACTTGGGGTCACGTCTAATTTTAAGTGTACGTCATCCTTGAGATTATGTATCAGGTCGCTGACATTAAGGATTTAAAATATATAACTAAAATTCATGACCTATAATAAAGTTATCAAGATTCCATGTTAACTTGAACTCTTTAAATTAAAAAAAAAAAATTTGTGTTAAAAATTGGATTGAATTAATATGAAAAAATGAGAATTTGTTGTAAAGAAATTTACAAGAATCGTTTCTTTACAACTGATTTGAAAATTCAAAGCTATTTCAGATATTTTAATTAATTGACTTTAGAAAAAAATATAGCTAAAATTTAATGTGTGGTTCCCTAATTGCTAAATGCCTATAAATTTACCATCCTATTTACTCAGCTTTACCCCGGAGTACATTTACACGGCTCCAACAAAACAGCCGGGTGTATAAGCTGTCGTATAATTTATTGTCGTAAATGGGTTGATGATAACAGTCCATGGAGTGCAGCAGTTATCACTTAATGGGAGAAGTTAATCTTTATATAATCTATCCTTAAAAGCGATGACTAAAGTCTATAAATATTGCATTTTTAATTATCAGGCAAGTGCCCCCAGCCTCAAACGAATTAGACATATCCTTGTGCAAAGTTATCTTGTTCTACTGTTTCTTTTATGAGGCTAGAACGCAGTCCCTTATATAAGTAGTGACTTTTTATCTAAGTCCAGTCGATAAAAATTCAAGGTAGCATTTGAAATTATACATAGATTGAGAGATCATGTTTTTATGCATTGTATTCCAGTTGAGAGATCACGTTGATGAGCATTTAGGCGTAAATAAATTCATTGTCTCCATTAGACAACTTGAGCGGGAAAAATGATTTTTCAAGATTCCGGGGTGGCAGGAGGCAGGGCATCAAACAGCATGCAAATAAGGCATTAAGACGTCCAACACCATACACACAATGAATTTACTCCCGCTGTGGTGAGCCCCAGGGTAATCTTATTTTGCCCGAGCATAGAAACAACGCAGTACTCTGACGTTGCTCGGCGTGAAGTCACGGGGGAAGCAGAACATGAGAGTGTCGATGATTCCCGAGTACAAGCAGGGACAGGGACACATTGAGCCCAAATAATACTTGATTAAATTCAAAATGCAAGAATCCATTTTAGCAAGTACCTGAATTAGGATTTGCCTCGCGCTACACTTAATCGGGGAAATAAAGAGAGAGTTGTTAGAGTAAAAAAAGAAATGAGTCATCTCAAGTTTAGCAAATCGGCTGAGTCGTCTTGGTTTTGGCTCACTCCAAACATGCCGTTTCTGGCACCACTTACAGTTTATCCATTTTCAATTTTCTTTCTTTACTATTTAAGACAATATTTTAAAAAAAAATTAAATTGTTCAATGATGGTGTAAAAGTTTTAAATAAAAAAAAGGAACTCGTTCAAAAACAATGAAATACATTATCAAGGTAACTTGAAACATTGTCGATAGGTTGAAAGACCGCGTTAAAAATAAACTGTCCCATAAGGTGTCTAAATTATCGCTTAAAGGGAAAGGGCCCTTTCATTATCCTTTCCATAAATACCCTAGGGAAAATTTAAAAATTGAAAATCACTTTCGGGATCCCTGTTTTTTAACATTATAATCATACGCTGGGTCGCTCGTGGGCCCACATGAGTTCAAAAATAAAGTTAAACCTGGCCTATTCTGATTCTGGCATGATAGAGAGCATCTTTACAAGATGTCGGCTCTCAAGGTTCGTTTTTTTTTTTCTTATTGTACACCCGTCCAATAGTGTAACTAAAACATACACCCACAAACCCGCTTTGAGATTTTTATAGAGAAATGTGTTTCCATTTTTATAAAATCATTTTTTCAGTTACTTCAATTCAATTTGACACCCAGCTTCATTTAAGTTTGATAATGATCTTCAGATGTATGCGTGTGTCTGTGTGGTGTCTAAATCAAGCATTTATCTAAAAAAAAAAAATCTGAGAACTTTGGATTCATGCCTCAGGAACAAACCTGGTAGATATTATACCTTAATACGTCTTTTCCGTCTACTTATTTCTTTCCATGAGGCAGACCATCGAAACACACCAATTAAAAAAAATACATTAATAATAATATTAAAACAAAAACGGAAATGTGTTTTATATAACATGAAAGACTGAAAGAACAATCTAATGTAACTATAAATCTTAATAATATCTGAAGAATTGAGACGTAAAGATAATAATTTACAAAACTAGTGATAAATGGACGTATCTTAGCATTTTTTTAAACACCATTGTTAAAATTATAATTGGGATGATTTTTATGAATATTATTTTTATTTAATATTATTACTACTAAAAAGGTATACCTATTTAAAAAGTTTTCTTTTTTCTCATAATAAAAAAAAGATACCAATAATGAAACCAAAACAAATAACTCACAAGTTTTTCATTCAACCAGGACGATCTAATGTGAAACTTGGACTGCGCGTGGTCCGTGGACCTGACTGGACATACGGCGATGAAGTTCCAGAAGGCTTATTCGGTACTGTTGTAGAAATAGATGGACAATGTTGTTCTTTAGCTCCAGACAAATCTGTCGCTGTTATGTGGGATTCCGGTATCAAGGTTTACTACAGAGCTGGATTTGGAAACGCCTATGATCTCCACATGTACGACAATGTTCAATGTGGTGAGTCCTTGTGTCCAGTGTACGGCTTTTTGCATCCACAATTTCATTTCCACAGAGAAGCTCAGTGTCAGTGGAAATTCGTTGATGAGCCATTACAGCTGCCAAGTCTTTTTTTTTCTGTTTAATTAATACATTTTACCTCCTCTCACTTGCTTTCCATTCTTCGTAACTTTTTTTTTGTCTGGGTTTGCGCCTAATAATATTATTTTCTTTTCGTTTAGGTAGGCTACACGTATATATTCATAAAGTAATTTTAATTTATATTAATTTAATTTTTTTTTGTACTGACGAAGGTATTTTCCAACGTGTCCATTGGTATTTCGTAAAATCCTCATGAAAGGCTGAACATATATTGCTTTATTTATACCAATAGTCTGTGTCTAATTAGTGTTGTGTTTATTTAAAAGCGACAAAATATCATACATTTTCACCTCTTATTATAGGATACAGCCAGCCATTCAAACCTGAAAAAATAGTGATATGCAAGTACACACTATACGTTCTGAAATGGCTACATTTAAATACAATTTACGGGTTTAATATATTCTTATTATTGATGTCCTTGCAGTTACATTATGGTATTCATTACTTTTGATTTTATAATGAAAGATCTTTTCATCATTAGAAACAGTCTTCGCTTTAGTTTTGCATTTGTAACGTCCTGTTACATGTAAAATTGTCTTTTAAATTTTAAAAATATCATTTTAGGTTATTATGATTAAAAAGAGTAGTTTAAAAAAAAAAAAAATTGAGAACCCATTTTCGTCCACAACAGGCGCGCTCCACGAATTCAGAACTTGCACAAGCTGCGGAGAACAAGAGATTGCAGGCTTCAGGTGGAAGTGTGCATTTTGTCCAGCCACCGACCTGTGCACCTGGTGTTACATGTCAGACAAGCATGACATCTCACACATGTTCATCAGATATGAAACTCAGTTTTCCATTGGGTAAGTCTATACGTTGTTTGCTTTACCAAAAAAAAAATTGAATTAGATTAATGAGAAAAACATATATGAAATGAAGTGGTTGGATGCTATTTTAAAACCAAAACCAGGATAAAGACATGGCATCAATGAAAAATTGTGAATTTCGCTTAAACCGTATGGCGACAACCTACAAAATCATGCTATCAATTTATTTTCCATATACATTCTATCCGTTGCATTACTTGCATAAAATAGAGCAGTAACTACAATGTCTAAAATTCCTCTCCATTCTGCAGCGCTTTACTTTTGTCAGGGATTTATGCTCACTCTTATTCGTTTATTTTATTTTTAGCTAGGATACATATATATATGTCAATAAATATCATGTAAAGTTCATTTATACAGATATGAATGTTTTTTATTTTACTGGTGAATGCATTTGCCGAGACATTTACATTTGTATTTATTGCTCATCATTTGTAAAGGATGACCTGTATTGTTTTAATTACATTTTTTTTTACATTGCAAGATACCTTTAGTTAATGTATTAAGTTTAACTGTTATATGGCGTAACGAAGCCGACACATGAACTCTTTAGCGACCCGTAACCGACTGGATACCCTTGCTCGAGACGCGTAGCTAGAGTGTTTGGCGCACAGAGGCGTAGCTATAGTGGTTGACACCCAGAGGCGGCGTAGCTAGAGTGTTTGGTGGGCGGGGACTAAATTCACGTTAAAGAGCCTCCCTTTCTTTGTTCAACTCTCAAACCCATGATTGTCATCAATAAAATAATATCAATGTACGTTTCGGCACCCTTAAATAGTCTGGCGCCCAGGGACCTCTTCCCTTTCCCCAGTCCGACCTAGCTACGCCTCTGACTTGTCTCCTCGTGCTACAGTTATATCCAAATCTGTCCATGACACGTTGCTTAGCCTTTACTCCTCCAGAATTTATAAACGGTTCCCATCGACTCTCGACAACTACCCAGATTCTTAAACTCCTATCCAATACTCATAAAACACTTACCCTCTTGAACACTTATCTAGGACATAATCTATGTCAGAAAGTTTCCGGAATTATTTTCCAAAGAATCTCGTCATTACTGCAAAGTCTTCTTAGTGTAAGCATTTGGGAGAAAGGAAAGGAATTTTAACATGACCGAGGATGGGACGATGACTGAGGCAGTAAGCTGTTCCTCTCTGATGTCTTCTAATGAATGGACGTTGATACTATGTTCTTGTGAAGGTTCATTTTGATGTCAAAAAAATATTGGCAGAACGTTCATGAACGTTCAGGAAGTAAATTTGATTGATGGATATAACGTTGTTTTGTGTCGTATATACGTTGGAAAGTCCCATGGAATCATTAATACATCTTTTGTAGTATTCACTTTGGAAATTCCCATGGAATCATTAATACATCTTTTGTAGTATTCACTTTGGAAATTCCCATGGAATCATTAATACATCTTTTGTAGTATTCACTTTGTAATTCCCATGGAATCATTAATACATCTTTTGTAGTATTCACTTTGGAAATTCCCATGTAATCATAATACATCTTTTGTAGTATTCACTTTGGTAATTCCCATGAAATCATTTATACATCTTTTGTAGTATTCACTTTGGTAATTCCCATGCAATCATCAATACATCTTTTGTAGTATTCACTTTGGAAATTCCCATCCAATCATCAATACATCTTTTGTAGCATTCACTTTGGTCATTCCCATGGAATCATTTATATTATTATTCACAGAATTCTGGGAAATGACACTATGTATCCTCCTAATGGCACAAAAGAAAAAGACAAATAAAACTCGGTCCCATGTTCATACCCATGGCCATACCACCAATACCACCAATACCACCAATACCACCAACACCACCAATACCACCAATACCACCAATACCACCAACTTGATTTTTTTTTAAAGATCGCTTACATAAAAAAGAGTTATATAAACCAGCTCTGCCAAATGTTCATTGGATCTTTATTTGGAAAATAGGATAAGGGTTCTTATTTAGAAAGAATGAAAAGCAGTAAGTCAATCTGTGTCAGGAATCAGCACGTACAATGAAAATGCGCCCATTTAAAAAAAAAGAAGTGAGTAGGTTTAGTTAGGCTCATTTTTTTTTCAAGCCCCAGTTTCCAACAATGTCCGAGAAACAGTGAACCTGACCCTTTTGATTCAACAGTTTGAGACCCCCTGATACACGGAATGAGAGAAAAAAAAATGATAAACCAGACCTAAAAGGAAGACACTCGCCTACAATTAACCAAACATGGATTTTTTTCCAATGCCAACCAGGGACGTACACATTTGTACATCACGTGTCTCGTGAAAACTTTGTACATCATTCACCAGGACAAGATTCGATACAATAGAGTAACATTAAAATATTACAATTAGATGCTTGTAAAAAAAAAGTGTTAACAAGAATTCAATACGCTTAATGTAGATCTATCAAGCACAAACAATGATATCATCACATATTATTTAAAAAAATGTGCCTACTGTATTGCTACGTTGCCATGGTAATAAATGCACATAAGAAAACAACTAACGTATTTATGGGCGCATAACACGCACCGGCGTAACATACGCACCTCATTTTAAGAAGGAAATTTCAGGAAAAAAAAACGTAACATTATATTAGCTCATAACACGCACACATCATTTGCCCCCTATTTTCAGGGAGAGAAAGTGCGTGTTATACGACGATAAATACGGCGGTTATTGCAAATAAAAATGTATGTTTCAAAACTGAAAATTAATCATCCTCGATTTGAAATTAGAAAGCGTGTGTTTAAAACAGTTGCAATAATTTATTTTGTCTCCTGCATTCCTAACGAATAAAACAACGTAACATTATATTAGCTCATAACACGCACACATCATTTGCCCCCTAGTTTCAGGGAGAGAAAGTGCGTGTTATACGACGATAAATACGGCAGTTATTGCAAATAAAAATGTATGTTTCAAAACTGAAAATTAATCATCCTCGATTTGAAATTAGAAAGCGTGTGTTTAAAACAGTTGCAATAATTTATTTTGTCTCCTGCATTCCTAACGAATAAAACAACGTAACATTATATTAGCTCATAACACGCACACATCATTTGCCCCCTAGTTTCAGGGAGAGAAAGTGCGTGTTATACGACGATAAATACGGCAGTTATTGCAAATAAAAATGTATGTTTCAAAACTGAAAATTAATCATCCTCGATTTGAAATTAGAAAGCGTGTGTTTAAAACAGTTGCAATAATTTATTTTGTCTCATGCATTCCTAACGAATAAAACAAATTTAAAATAATTGCATAGTGTACTTATGATGAAAAAAGAAAATACCTTATATAAAAATTTCAAAAAATCCTTGTCTCCACCACTAGGATATCGCTTTGGTAGCCTGTGGATATCATTTAAATATTTATTATAGGTTTCAAAAGAATGATTTTAAAACACGCACGAGCTGATCCAAAACTCCATTGCAGCGTTAGAGTCCCCCCTCGATGTGACTGTCAGGGTGACAAACGATTGGCTAATGGCATTTTCAACGGTGCATTTGTGACCCGTGGGGAAGACTGGAAAGCGGGTAATCAAGATGGTAAGCTGTATAGTAAAAATCGATGGGCCTCATCAATCAAAGTGTATGCCACAAAAACACATTAGACTGCGAATTAAACTAGACCAAAACATAAACGAAACCAGAGGATATTTGAAACATTTGATAACATGCCAACAATTTTAAATACATTGTTCTTAAATTTTAAAAAAAGATGAAACTTGTTATTAATTTTTTTTGGTCGAGTAAAGAAACATGTCTTGTAACTTCTGAGAGAGCGTTTAAAATGCGTATGCAAATTATCAATGAAAATGAAGTATGTTCCACATTCAACGCTCTCTAACAATTCGAAATTCAATGTTATGCCCTTTTACGTCGAGTTGTCAATGGTTCTATTCCGCTCTGACAAGGCACCGTGTTCCCTGGTCACCAAGACGCGCTGTTGCCGGTTAGGCAGCATGCTGTTTCGATGGATGGTTAAGTTCAGCGACAGAAAGATGTACTTGGTACAGTGTAAGTTGACTCCGATTGAGAGCATCAATGAGTTCTGTCCTGAATTAAGATGGCCAGAGGGAATCGAATGGCTCTGCCAACAAGACGCTTTCTTGAAAGAGACCATGAGGGATTAGCTTAAATACACCCTTGCACTTATAAAGTATAACTTCAGGGTTTTTAATCAAGAAAAAAAAGAAAATTTTTATTTAACTATTAAAAATTAACCTACAAAATTCGTGTCAACTTTTATGTAAGCAGAGATGTTTGGTATAAATAATTTAACTCACTTGACACCACAATCCTGGATCTATAAGACATGTGAACAATTCGTAATTATGTAGAGTTGAGGATAGTGTTAATGAATCTACACTTGAGAAAGGCACTGCTTGCCCTCCCCTCCCCCAACAGGACAGTGTTAAGTCATATCTTACAGTCAGAACGAAAGATCAGCGTCTTTTTTTGTTGTCCCTATTGGTTATTCGTTAATCACTACACAGTAGATTCACACAATCAGTCATAGTGTCCTTAATTAAACAAAGCCTAAAAATCAAGTTTTTCGTATAAACCTTTGTAAAATGTAATATCGGGCAACTTGGGGTGGGGGGAAAAGGGGGGGGGGCTGAAAATTTGGCTAAACATGCATGCAAGTATTGCACGCGTAAAGAAGCCCAATTAGTACCCCTCCCCCCCCCCAAAAAAAAAAAAACTCACAATAGCACATTTGTGTATGCCCCTGAACTACATTAATATTTTATTGACCCATCCGATTTTACACCGCAGATTTATTTTTCCAACTTTTTCAGGAAACTAAAGAAACTATTACGCACCAAACACAATTGAGATAGCCATCTTTGTTTTAAATGAATTTTTTTTAGCGCAGTTATCGGGAATGTTATGTCATGAAATCAGTGTCATCATGTTTTCTTCATCTTATCCTTAAAATAAAAAAACAAGATAACTGTTTTTTGGAGCTTGGGGCATGCGGGTGGGGCTGAAAATTTAAAAGAATGTGTTGTCATCTGCAACAAGTCTATGAACAAAGTATCCGCTCGATAGGTTGACGGAAAGTGGATCAATTATGCTTCCGACGATTTGACAAGCCAGACATATACAAAAATCGTTGCTAGATAAGCGATTCAATTTTTCATTTCTTTCAGAGCAGAGCCTAAACGTCACGAACTCCAGCTGAGCGCACCGTTGAAGTCACCAAAAAAAAAACAAAAACAAAAAAACAACAACAACAAAACACTGCAATGAAGTTAAGATTTTCCGATCGTTACAGCCATATTAATAATTTTGCTGTACACACATCAATATATTTCCCACTGTGAAGTAAACAAAACACATTAATCCCGATTATTATTTGTGTCAACTATTTATCAAGATTACGCCTAGAAATTCAATTCTTTGAGCTGCACCATATTTCTTCTGCAACTAGGAGGTGCTGGTAAACCTGGCCAGGTCGTCAAGACTCTGAAGACCGGCGATGTCTCAGTCAGATGGAGGTCTGGCGACGTCTACATGTACCGTTTGGGGTCAAATGGCAAAGTGGACTTGAAACTAGTTACTAATTGCTATGGTAACTTCTACTACAAGAGTCATCTCCCGCTTGTTGGTAAGTATATCTCTCAAATAAAAAGAATGTAAAAAATTGCAAGATTTATTTATTCAACAATGTTGATCAAATTTGCTTTATTAATTAACTTAATACCATGGAACTTAAAAGATCTAGTTAAGTGTTTCATATAAAAATTAAAAATAAACATCTTATTTAAGTTCGATTCTTCATCTTGTGTTAGCAAATTTACTATTCATTAGTCATCCACAATTGATAAAAGAAGATATTTCATCATAAAACGATTTAATAAAATTATCTTCTACAGGTAAATTGAATGATGAAACTATTGAAAATAACTATTTTCAAAAAGCTCACATCTCTGCTGATAGAAGAAAGGTATCTAACAATATTTCCAGTAATTAATTTACGTTTTTTTACTTGATTTATAAATGGTATAGTGCTGAAAGCGATTCAATTTTTCATTTCTTTCATAGCAGAGCATAAACGTCACAAACTTTAGCTGAGCGCACCGTTGAAGTCACCAAAAAATAAAAAAAAGAAGCTTTTCCAGTGAGTAGTGGAGTTAAGCAAGGTTGCGTGCTGGCTCCTACTTTATTTGCAATCTTTTTCTCCATCCTACTCCAGCATGCCGTTCAGAACAACAGCGAGGGGATATACATCCACACTAGAGATGATGGCAAATTATTCAACATTGCGCGCCTTAGAGCTAAGACTAAAACAAGAAAGGTCTTGCTGCGGGAGTTCTTGTTTGCGGACGATGCCGCTTTGGTATCTCACACAGCTGACGCCCTGCAGAGCCTCGTATCCAGCCTATCCGCTGACTGCAAAGAGTTTGGCCTGATAATTAGCCTAAAGAAAACTAACATTATGTCACAGGGCGCTGACTCCCTCCCCACTATCGCCATCGATGACTACAACTTGGATACTGTTGACAGATTCACATATCTGGGATCAAACATATCGAGCACCCTCTCAATGGAGGATGAGATAAGTGGGAGGATAGGGAGGGCCGCAACTGTTATGGCCTGACTGAAGAAAAGAGTCTGGTCAAACGCCAAACTCACAACGAGAACTAAGCTGCAGGTGTACCAGGCCTGCGTACTGAGCACACTTCTGTATGGATGCGAGTCGTGCACCACATACTCTAAACACGAAAGAAGGCTCAATGGCTTCCACCTCAGATGCCTGCGCCACATCCTTGACATTAAATGGCAAGACAAAGTCCCCAACACGGATGTCCTGTCCCAAACAAACATGTGTAGCGTCCCAGCCATGTTAATCCAAATACGCCTCCGCTGGCTTGGACACGTCAAGCGAATGCAACCTGGTCGCATACCAAAGGACGTGCTATGCAGTGAGCTGGCGACAGGGAAAAGGTCAGTTGGACGGCCTCGTCTGAGATACTTAGACATATGCAAAATAGACATGAAGTCGGCCAACATCGAAATCTCAAACTGGGAGGTGCACGCAGAGGATCGATCCTCATGGCGGGGCATAGTGAAGGTATGATCACTACATGCCGAGGATCAAAACAGATCGGAAACAGCTGCAAAAAGAGCGAGGAGGAAGGCCGGTAAATACTGCTCCACAGCATTCGTGAGTGGGAAATGTAACAGAGACTGCCATTCGAGGATTGGTCTCACCAGCCACACCAAGAGCTGCAAGCTGTAAAGATAATATATCGTCTTCCACAGACGGAAAGATGCCATACATAGCGCTGTTTATGTAGGGCAATATGGTTCTCAGAAACCTATTTTTAGGATAGACTGATACTCCAGCAACAAAGGTTTAATTACAGAATTTCTTGTCTAAAAGAGTCCCCCCCAACATATTTTCAAGCGCTGCTTCCATAATAATATAAATATACAGAGGTATGAGGTAAAATATTTGATATCGCAATTCAATGCCAACGGTATCACTCTTTCAACAATTCAAATTACGAAAATAGAGCCGCTCTTAGGATTTTGGGGGCCCAAGACATGGAACGTAGGTAGTGGGCAGCGGATGGGGGGGGGGGGCAGAGTGTAGAGCTTCGCCGGAGCGGAGGAGAAAATAGGATTGTGAAGTTGCAAAATAGACATCAGACGAGAGATTTATAACCACCTACCTCCTTTTCTTCTCTTTCAACAATTCAAATTACGAAAATAGAGCCGCTCTTAGGATTTTGGGGGCCCAAGACATGGAACGTAGGTAGTGGGCAGCGGATGGGGGGGGGGGGCAGAGTGTAGAGCTTCGCCGGAGCTGAGGAGAAAATAGGATTGTGAAGTTGCAAAATAGACATCAGACGAGAGATTTATAACCCACTACCTCCTTTTCTCGAAACTGTCTTCCCGATACATTTTCTCCCCAAAATGTTTTCTCTTGACAACACTTCGTTGACGTGTAACATTTCCGACACCATCTCTTTGCTGATAGCAGTCTCCCGCCTTTATCATCCTTACATTAGGAATAATTTGTTGACATGGCGTGTAACTGCTAACCATATTGATAATTCATCTACTAGAGAAAATGTTGACTTCTGAAATACATGTACTTGCAAGTTGTTGGTTCAAAACATTCGCCCGTAGGGGTCCCCTTGACAGTGTTGTCCAATAAGTTGTTGCCAAGTTTGCCTATACCTAAGAACGGGTCTGATGAGAAGAAGAATCGACCACTGTATTGGTTCCTCGGTTTTTGGCGAACGTCGAACCACTCAAAAGCTGATGGGAAAAGGCAGTCCTAACGACGGTAGAGCGATACCGACGAATGGATAGACAGGAACCCTGCTTCCAGCTACATGATAAATGGGTAAAACGACCAAATTAAAGAGACCGTCCTTTATGGACATGGTCCACAGTCTTGAGGAAGACCTGGCATAAACCACAATAAGAGAAAAAGTAAGGGTGATCAGGGAACGGGGCCCCCACAAAAGCCTTACCAGGCCTGAAATACACATCGCCATGACGTCTACTAAAGCTACAACAACCAGCCTTCAACCAGAACTATCAGAGGCAGTGCAAGAAAAGATTAAAGCTTACCCAGACAGCCTCTTAAAACGTCTTCACAGACGGTTAATACTTCGCAAGAGAAGAATGCAGAGCCCATGGTGCTCTTTTCAAGTATTCCAAAGAGATAGCTCCACCCGAAGAACTATCCGGACCGAGTGGAAACAATCGAACGAACCTCGATGCTGAGATCGAAGCAATATTGGTTGCCATAAAAAGAGTCCGCCAACGCCTAACAAAAAGCAAGAAAAAAAAAAACTTCCCGGATGTTGTTGTCATCACCGTCTCACGCTCAGCTCTCGAGCAATTGGGAAGGGGCTCTACGAAGACCACGATGGTAAATGTCATTCTAGAGACAGTTGGTAACATCCAATGAGAGGCGGCAAACTAATCGTACAGTGTATCGCTTCGCACGTTGAGGTGACGCAACACGACAAGGCGGACTCCTTGGCTAAAGAAGGCCGCAACCCAATAAACGAATGACTCTGCTGGGAGTCAACGCTTGGTTGAAAGACCACTTTTGTAACAAGTGTTTAAGCGATTGGGCCGCAGGAGAAACTGGACGACAGCTTTACCGGAAAATGCCCCGACCGAGCAAGAGCGGCTCTTGGTGGAATCTCAAGAGAAGCGACCAGAGCCTCATCACCCAGATGACAGGTCTCTGCGCGACGCGCAGCTACCTCCATAGACTCGATGACAGAAGGGAACCAACCTGCCGCTTTTTGCAACCTCACTTTTGGTCGACTGTCCCAGGGGCGGGAAGGGGACAGAGGGTCGGGACCCAGAGACCTGACTTGAAGATATGATTCACGGTGACACCCAACCAGATGAGGCAAGCCGCCATATCAATAGCCAGGGCAATAAGAGAGTAAATCTCAGCCCAAAAGAGCATTGAACATTTAGTTCCTCGATAGTTAGATATAAGTTTTAACAGCCTAGTTTAATGTATTCAATTTAAACAAAAAAATTATAGTATTAAGATTTTTTCAACCACATCTACGTTTTAGTCATCAACTAACGGAAAGGGTTTTGAATCGAAGAACCACAGAGAACCTTTTTACCATGTTGACAACATGAGGAGGAAGAACAAAGAAGAGAGCTCACAGCCTCACGTAAATAGTGCCTACTCCACAAGGGGCACTGGGTCCAACTACGATCGTGAAGCTGGACCCTCACACACAAGTGATAGGGATTCAGACGGTGAGATGTCAAAATTGTTTTTAAATATTTGATTTTTAATTTTTGTAAATCGTCAAAGCCATCGTCATGTTTTTCTTCTCCTGTTAACAAATCTATATAAAAAAAGAGTTCAACGTCGAGTTTGTTTGTTTGTCTGTTTGTTTGTTTGTATTTTTAGGCGTTTTGGATGTTTTTAACCTACATAAAAAAAGAATTTAAAAAAAAAAAATAATGGACCAAGAGATCCCAATTTTTTGTACAGATGTTCACTTCTTTCCTAGAAGTAATATAGTCTAAGTCTATGGTCCGAAATCACGTTGGCCTATGTGGGGCCCATAATTCGTGTTTATTCTCTTACGAGCTTTACAAATGGAAGAGTGTCCTGATTTCGCACTTTTGCTCTGTCGTTCAATATTAGTGGAAAAAGGAGCATACCAATGGCGTGGAATAATCCTATAAAGTATTGATTAGTGGAGCACACACGTTGGGTAGATTTATGTTAGAGAGTGTGGGTAATTTGAGCACATAAATGATATACATTTATCGTAGAAAACCTGCGCTCTTCAGCACAGTCATTACAGAGAGTCACCAGTGTGCATGTACACAGAAAGAAGGTATACCGATTGCGCTTTTTTCAAGCTATTGATTGCTTCTAAACTTTTGAACCGTTTTCCAGTCTTTATGGAAAATTGAGAATGATAAAAAAAAAATCATTAAAAAAAAAATTAAAGAGTTTTATCTTTAAAAATATTTTGGACATCAGAGCCCGAATCGTGACGCAATTTACGAACGCCCCTTTGTTAATTCCCATTGCCTTCCTAGTGTGGATGAACACAGAAAAAAGTCTTACGGAGTGCGCTCTTTTGAAGCGATGGCGCCAAAATTATGGAACAGTTTGCCTCAATCTTTGAGGGGAATTGTAAAGGATAAAAAATCATTTACAAAACATTTAAAAACTTTTTTGTTTCAATAGATTTCGGAAAACCAGAGCGCGGTGAGCATGCTAAAGTGGCATGGATACCAGCGCGATGTAAATATCAAAATTAATCAATCAATCAATTGCCTTAATAAAAATAGTAATCTACGTATGATAGAAAGTAAGCAATAACGGTGAGTTCAAACGCGTGCAAGATATCATTCCAGATAACTGCACTAAATGAGATTCTTAAAAATTGCCACAAGTGTTTTTGGTGCGTACTATGTAATACATAATTTGGGGGTTTGACATTAAAGTATTAATTTAGTTCAGCGGGGTCAAAAATGTTTTCGGTGGCGTATACGGGGAGGGTGAGGCTTGGTAGCACTAACTTGGATTCTAATAAATGCGTTAGCCGTTACTGGAATGCGTGATTTGCCAAGTAATTTGAGCAGATTACCGCCGACATTGCTTTGGCGAGCAATGCAACTTGTTTAAAAAAATGTTATGGAACAATATTAACCAATCACATATACGCAAACATTGCATTTTCGTGATTTTTTTTTAATTTTAAAAAGCTTTACTGGGGGTTGGGGGTAGGGGGGGGGGGTCCGCATTATACACGTTGATCGTACTATGCGTGGTACTGTATAGCACCTCGAAGCTGCTGAGAAAGAGCTCAAATGAATAAGTTTAAAAAAATGTTATGGAACAATATTAACCAATCACATATACGCAAACATTGCATTTTCGTGATTTTTTTTAATTTTAAAAAGCTTTACTGGGGGTTGGGGGTAGGGGGGGGGGTCCGCATTATACACGTTGATCGTACTATGCGTGGTACTGTATAGCACCTCGAAGCTGCTGAGAAAGAGCTCAAATGAATAAGTGATAGTGACGAGAGAAGGCAGCTGCTCTTCAAATGTTACATTTTTGGCATTGGCTGTTTTCAGGGTGACCCGTTTTCATACCACAGCTCTTTTTGTTTTGTTTCTTAAATCAAAGTAACTTAGGCGATGTTGATTTATGTTATTTTATTTTGGCACTAAGGCCCCAATTTTAGTACCGCTATGTATCTGACATTTTAGTACCACTATGTATCTGACATTTTAGTACCGCTATGTATCTGACATTTTAGTACCGCTATGTATCTGACATTTTAGTACAGCTACGTATCTCACATTTTAGTACCGCTATGTATCTGACATTTTAGTAACGCTATGTATCTGACATTTTAGTACGGCTATGTATCTGACATTTTAGTACCGCTATGTATCTGACATTTAAGTACCGCTACGTATCTGACATTTTAGTACCGCTATGTATCTGACATTTTAGTACAGCTATGTATCTGACATTTTAGTACCGCTATGTATCTGACATTTTAGTACCGATATGTATCTGACATTTTAGTTCCGCTATGTATCTGACATTTTAGTACCGCTATGTATCTGACATTTTAGTACCGCTACGTATCTGACATTTTAGTACCGCTATGTATCTGACATTTTAGTAACGCTATGTATCTGACATTTTAGTACCGCTATGTATCTGACATTTTAGTACCGCTATGTATCTGACATTTTAGTACCGCTATGTATCTGACATTATAGTACAGATATGTATCTGACATTTTAGTACCGCTATGTATCTGACATTTTAGTACCGCTATGTATCTGACATTTTAGTAACGCTATGTATCTGACATTTTAGTACCCCTATGTATCTGACATTTTAGTAACGCTATGTATCTGACATTTTAGTACCGCTATGTATCTGACATTTTAGTACCGCTATGTATCTGACATTTTAGTACCGCTATGTATCTGACATTTTAATACCGCTATGTATCTGACATTTTTTGTTACCGACGTTTAACGAGGCCCCCTTTGAAAAGATTCCTTAAATATTTACTCTAAGGCTTTTGTATAGGACCCATCGTTTGTACATATTGGCATGGGCGACCTATTTCTTAAGGCCGGGACGGTTGGAAAAAGGGGAAGAGGGACAAATTTTAAAATGAAATGTGCTAAAGCTTTGTAAATCTTTTGTAAATAAATGTGTGAAAGATAATATTCAAGCAAAAGGAACCAACATTTTCCATACCTATAACGATTGTGTAGTCAGTTCTACATCTCTCTAGACATTGCAAATGTGAAGAAGAAACCAACTGTCGGTAGTTGACAGAAATCTTCAAGAATTGTAAATAACAGATTCCATTAAAAAAAAAATCATCGCAAATAAAAATCCAGCAACACACCTTCACTTTTTGTAAAACTAACACTCATTTTAATGTGTAATTTCAATTTAGATTTATTATGTAATTTATCACTTGTTTTTTGAGGTAATTACTAATATTTTGTTCGCTGGATTAGACGATGCAATGACTGAGGAGAGGTCACCACCAGCAAAGAAAAGTGGGTTTAAAATAGGAGACAATGTCAAAATCGCAGTTGGATTGTCAGCTCTGAAAAAACTTCAGGACGGACATGGAGGATTTCCCAGTAACATGATGAAGGTATTTTAGAAGAAAAAAAGGATACTTAATAGAACATGGATATGTTTGTAGCTTGATTTTTTTCGTATCTATTGTTTTGTTTTGTCAACACCTCTCTCTCTCTCTCACTCTCTCTCTCTCTCTCTCTCTCTCTCACACTCTCTCTCTCTCTCTCTCACTCTCTCTCTCTCTCTCTCTCTTTCTTTCTCTTTCTCTCTTTATATGTTTGTAGCTTGTTTTTTTTTCGTATCTATTGTTTTGTTTTGTCTACACCTCTCTCTCTCTCTCTCTCTCTCTCTCTCTCTCTCTCTCTCTCACACTCTCTCTCTCTCTCTCTCACTCTCTCTCTCTCTCTCTCTCTTTCTTTCTCTTTCTCTCTTTACCTCTGTCCTATCTGTTTATTATATATTTGTCACTCTATACATTTTTTTCATCATTGTATATATGCAAGTACATGTTTTCTGTAATCTCATATATTCTGTTTTAAAAAAAAAAACCAACAATTTTATATTTCAATTTAAATTGTATTTTAAATTATATGCGGTATTCTTATGTTTTTAATATGTCATTGTGTATGCTATGCCACACTATGGAATGTGAAATATAACATTTAAAAATATATGTCTCGTTTAGTGGACGTTGAAGAAGATTGTATTTAAATGAATGAAATGTACAAATATTTTTTTTTCTTTTTAAAAATATTTAAGCTGATTACGTTCTTCATCAGCATTTTGTCATATCCCTGATAAAAGAAGCGGTATGTTTATCCTGTCACTCAATTCACGGATATCACCTTTCAAGGGGTCCTCAAAATAAATTTTAAAAATAACACCACCTAAGTGTGGTTGATATGCTTTAAACGTATTGCCAATGCTCGACTCTTACTTAACAACATTCAGGACGCATCAGAAGGGTTACCAGCTGACAGTATAAATGGGTCAAGATGTCAGGGAATATAAAAAAAAACAACAACGCATAATCTGGTTCCCTAGCTGAATTGACAGCCTCTTGCTACGGTCATTAAAACACATCCATATCGTTGTTTTATTTATAGCTGCCAAGTTTAACAAAAAAAAAAAAACACAGACATATTGAACTGAACGTATTTGTTCAATACATCAATTTCACTCAATTTGGTTTAATAAATTTAAATAAAAACAAAACCAAAAAATCTCTTTTTTATTTTTTTTTTCTGATCAGCACGTCGCTAAAGTTGGTACAGTATTTTCCATCAACGACAATGGTGACGTCAAGGTGAAATTTGGAGACAGCGGGCCGTACCTCTTCAATCCTGACGCCCTGTCAAAGGTTTGTGGGAGTTTTAACTAATTGAAACATCAACAGAAATTAAGGTCTATACCAGTTTGGACCAGTTAAAATCTGTTGTAAAACTAAGGCAAGGTGTCATCACCGCATGCAATTTGAAGAATTAGAAACTCTCTGGCTGGGGGAAAAAAAATTGCAAGTGATTATAAATTATATAATGCAACCTTTATACTGATTAGCATGAGAGGAGTGGGGGCATCGGCTCGCGAGCCAAATGTGGCTCGCCGCGCATGCGTCTTGAATGGCTCGCTCTCCCTTTACCAAAAAAAAATTCAAATGATTAGAATGATCATAATTAAATAATATCGAAGAAAAAATGGACGTGTAGATTAAACATTCTATTACAGATGTCACTACTACATCATGAGCTTGTTTCTCTTTCTGATGAAATAATAAATTAGATTTGAATCGGGTCAAGGACAAACAACCCCCCCGTACCCCCTCAACCTATTTCACCACATCTGGCTCCCGTGCTTCTTGTACCTCTTGAATTAGGTTCGCAACTTCAAAGGTTTGCCCATCCGTATGTTGGCACATTTCATTTCATACAAACATTTTTTTTGTTGCAAACTAATGAACAATCTCCTTTGTAAATGCTTAAAAATGAGCTTGCAATATTTGAACACTGACACTAGCAGCTTATGCATTTGTAAATCCTGGTGTCTTTAATTTTCGTAGATATTGAATGACCCAAAGTCGACAGGGGAGCCCACACCAACCACGTCCAGGGCGGAACCTACCACACGCCTCAAGCCAGAGTGCACGATTTGTCTGACCCAGGAGGCCTGTGCGGCCTTCGTGCCGTGCGGACACATCGCCTGCTGTCAGAGATGTTCCAAGTTTTTCAAAAAATGCCCCATTTGCCGGGGTGAAGTCAAAACCAGCTTCCGGGTTTTCATCCCATGAAGTGATGTCTCGAAAGAGTAACATGAATCCTAGATTTTTTGGTGGGGTCCATGAAGTGATGTCTCGAAAGAGTAACATGAATCCTAGATTTTTTGGTGGGGTCCATGAAGTGATGTCTCGAAAGAGTAACATGAATCCTAGATTTTTTGGGGGGATCCAGTTCTCAATGATTTTTAATGACCTTAACATATCTTGTTCCACCACTGATTTATGTAAGATAATGTGTGTTTATCTACATTTTCTACTGAAATCTAAAATTTAGATTTTCCTTTTGTGAAGAATCTCTTATGCATAGTTATGTTTCTTCTGGTTCTATCTTGTTCTATATTTTGAGGGCCCACGATCAATGAATTGATCATTCTGGCTCCTATGTGTGTGTGTTTGTGTGTGTGTGTGTGCGCGCACGCGTGTGAGTTATGGATGTGTTTTGGATATAACGTCCAGGTGGTTATCAGTTAAATTAAGTTTTATAATTTAAAAAAAAATAATAATTGTGTAGACTTGATCTGAACTTACTACAGCTGACGCTTAACATGGAAGAAGATGGAAACAACAAAGAAAGCAAAACATAAAAACATTAAGAATGGTTACATACAATAATTAAAAGTACGTTTTTTTTCTGTTTCTATTACTGCATAACTAATCTTTAATTTCGTTTCTTTATCAAAGTGCATATAAAAACATATATTTGAGTTTGATATGAGCGTCAGCTATGCTGACCGTAACACCAAAGAAACGATAAGATTTAAATACGTTCGGATTCTCAAAAACGAACATAGTTATTTTCTATGGCTGCGAATATTAGTCCAAATGGCCCCGGACACGCAGCGCCGCCATTCGCACCCGGGTCCCATTAGACCAATGCTATTCGGATGGCATTTGTGGTAGTTTATTTTAGTTAAAAGGAAGAAGTAAGTTTACAAAATTATAGCCCATTCAAATATCTTTCATTTGATACCACATTTTATTTTACAAACCCAACAATGATATTTTAAATAAGTTTTTTTTAATCCCAACCTGGTTTAGCTGGTGTTTGATACGTCAAACAAGAAGATAATTTAGCTGGTGTTTGAAAGGTCAGACGAAGAAGATGGTTTAGCTGGTGTTTGATACGTCAAACAAGAAGATAATTTAGCTGGTGTTTGAAAGGTCAGACGAAGAAGATGGTTTAGCTGGTGTTTGATACGTCAGACGAAGAAAATGGTTTAGCTGGTGTTTGATACGTCAGACAAGAAGATGGTTTAGCTGGGGTTTGATACGTCAGACAAGAAGATGGTTTAGCTGGGGTTTGATACGTCAGACGAAGAAGATGGTTTAGCTGGGGTTTGATATGTCAGACAAGAAGATGGTTTAGCTGGGGTTTGATACGTCAGACAAGAAGATGGTTTAGCTGGGATTTGATACGTCAGACGAAGAAGATGGTTTAGCTGGGGTTTGATACGTCAGACGAAAAAGATGGTTTAGCTGGTGTTTGATACGTCAGACAAGAAGATGGTTTAGCTTGGGTTGAAATCTTCAGACAAAGAAGATGGTTTAGCTGTCTTGAGAGAAGATCTGCCTCTATGTTATATTTACCTTTTATCGATTTTATTTCACATTGATAGTCTTGTACCGGTAACATTAAACATCATGTGTTAGTTTTATTATTTGCTATCTTCTTTTTATGTTATAAACCAGGGGTTTATGATCAGTTAAGAGATTAAAGTTTGTTCCAAATCGATATTTAAGTAGTTTTTTAGTGGACAAAATTTACAGCCAAACATTATTTTTCAAGAGTTGAGCAGTTTGTTTCAACTTTGCTTAGAGATCTGTTTGGATATATTATTTGTTTCGTTTTGTTATTAACGTCTTGCGCACGGCAAGCTCCTAATCCATTATTGGATGAACCTGTTACTACTGTGAAAAGATTACTAAAATCAGGTGGCATTAAAATGTTCTTACTCTGAGACCTTTCTGTAATAGTTTTCAAAGTTGTTTCACAGTCTCCTGTCCAATTGATCTGTTTGTTGTCACTTATATTGAGTAGATTTCTTAATGGCCTAGTGGTGATATCAGAAAACTTTGGTACAAAACAACTAAACAAGTTACATAAACATAAAATCGTTAGTATTTCCTTTTGATGATTTTTGTTTGTCTATTTAGTATTTTCTGTCTATTCAATTGTTTTGGATGAATTGTCTTTTTTCCTATTTTGAAACCTAAGAAATCTGCCAGGTCTCTTGCAAACGGAAGTCTATGAGGCGCAATATTCAGACCTATTTTAAAGTTTCCAGATTGGTTTTGATGTCTTTTATATGAATGCAGATATCATCAACAAAAATAGCTACATTTGAAGAGTTGGATCGTCTAAGATTATTTGTTTTCAAAAGATGGTTCAGTTCTTTCTTTAATTCCTCTCTATAAGCATTTGGAATATGATACTGTTTTTGATTAAATGTAGGTCATTGTGCATTAGAATGTTTGTGTGATCTATATTCTACGTCACAACATCATTTAATTCCCCAATGAGTGATGTCAACTGTCTACTATATTTCTTGATGTTGTTATCATTGTCAGTATGTGCCTTCACGAGTAAATTCTATGTTAGAAATATAATTGGTCACATTGTTGTATATTTATGCAATGCCTGGAGATCGCTTAGCTATATCATTGGTCTCAGTGTGTTATTAACCTCTTGTATAAGGCCAGCTCATAATCCATTATTGGATGCCCATGTTACTATTGCGAAGAGATTGCTACAATCAAGTGGCATTAAAATGCCACCCTGAGACCTTTCTAAAATGGGTTTCAAAGCTCTTTCACACTATCTGCCCATACAATAATGTGTCTCTGACAATATGTGTCTCTGACAAAATGTGTCTTTCAAATATGTGTCTCTGACAATATGTGTCTTTCAAATATGTGTCTCTGAAAATATGTGTCTTTCAAATATGTGTCTATGACAATATGTGTCTATGACAATATGTGTCTCTGACAATATGTGTCTCTGACAATATGTGTTTTTCAAATATGTGTCTCTGATAATTTGTGTCTCTGACAATATGTGTCTTTGACAATGTGTGTCTCTGACAATATGTGTCTCTGAGATTGCGTGACGCTATGACTTACTAAATAAATATAGAGTAGTTTATTACAGACAACTAAACAACTACGAATAGGATACCACGAACACTTAAGAGGACTTATGGTATGTTTTAATGGCAGACCTAGGAGGTCAATCTCTCACCTGGAGCGACTTTTTCATGTGTCTGAGTATATTCTACAATCTAAACGTCAATACCAACTCACTGACTGCCACTATTAGTCCAACGACCGTGTGCATCTTATCATATTAACTTTTATATTGTTTAAAATTAATGTCTTTAAATGGAACACAAATGCTAAAAAAGAGAATATATTTTTCCCCCAAATATGTCAATCTCTCTATGTGCAACACCTCCATTAGTCCCCAAATCTGTCTCTATGTGCAAACCCATCGATTTGTCCACAAATCTTTCAATCTCTCTATGTGTAACCTCTCCATTTGTTCTCAAATCTATAAATCTCACTGTGTGCAACCCATCCATTTGTACCCATATCTGTCAATCTCTCTATGAGCAATCCTTGCATTTTTCCCCAAATCTGTCAATCTGTCTATGTGAAATCCCTCCATTTGTCACGAAATCTGTCAATTTCTTTATGTGCAACTCTTCCCTTTGCCCACAAATCTGTCAATCTCTCTATGTGCAACCCCATCATTTGTCCACAAATTTGACAATCTCTCTATGTCCAACCACTCTATTTCTCACAAAATTTGTAAATTTCTCTATGTGCAGCCACTTAATTTTTCCATAAAACTGTCAATCTCTTTATGTGCAACCCATCCAATTTTCCCCAGAACTGTCAATCTCTCTATGTGCACCCCCTCCATTTGTCCCCAAATATGTCAATCTCTCTATGTGCAGCCCAGCCATTTGTAACCAAATCTGTCAATCTCTCTATGTGCAAACTCTCCATTTGTCCCCAAATCTGTCAATCTCTCTATGTGAAACCTCTCCATTTGTAACCAAATCTGTCAATCTCTCTATGTGCAGCCTAGCCATTTGTAACCAAATCTGTCAATCTCTCTATGTGCAACCTCTCCATTTGTAAACAAATCTGTCAATCTCTCTATGTGCAGCCCAGCCATTTGTAACCACATCTGTCAATCACTTTATGTGCAACCCCTCCATTTGTCCACAAATGTTTCAATCTCTCTATGTGCAAGCCCTCAATTTGTCAACAAATTTGTCAGTTGCTCAACTAGATCTGTCTGTGGATCCTAGGTTTACAGTAATTGCTAGTTGTTCCAGAAGATCTTTCTGTGGATCCTAGGTTTACAGTAAGTGCTAGTTACTTCACTAGATCTATCTGTGGATCTTAGGTTTACAGTGAGTGCTAGTCGCTCCACTAGATCTATATGTGGATCCTAGGTTTACAGTAATTGCTAGTTGCTCCAGTAAATCTTTCTGTGGATCCTAGGTTTACAGCAAGTGTTAGTTACTCCACTAGATCTGTCTGTGGATCCTAGGTTTACAGTAAGTGCTAGTTGCTCCACTAGATCTATCTGTGGATCCGAGGTTTACAGTGAGTGCTAGTCGCTCCACCAGATCTGTCTGTGGATCCTAGGTTTACAGTAATTGCTAGTTGCTCCACTAGATATTTCTGTGGATCCTATTTTTACAGTAAGTGCTAGTTGCTCCACTAGATCTTTCTGTGGATCCTAGAATTACAGTAAGTGGTAGTTGCTCTACTAGATCTGTCTGTGGATCCTAGGTTTACAGTAAGTGTTAGTTGCTCCAATAGATCTTTCTGTGGATCCTATTTTTACAGTAAGTGCTAGTTGCTCCACTAGATCCGTCTGTGGATCATAGGTTATAGTAAGTGCTAGTTGCTCCATGAGATCTGTATGAACAATATACAATGAAATCTATTAAATCAAGATTGTCTCAGTCATTGTAAAATGTAATGTTATAAATGCTGATAGAGCTTGAAAATCTTTAAACTAGATGTTCATCTAGAGAATGACACCAGCAATGTCTCTGCATCTATTTGATGGTGACGTGGACGCAGTGGATGTTTATCTACTTTT